GTGTGTCCACTCACAGGATGAGTGGCGCTGCCCAATACTGTCACTATGGCGGTGTGTCCACTCACAGGATGAGTGGCGCTGCCCAATACTGTCACTATGGCGGTGTGTCCACTCACAGGATGAGCGGCGCTGCCCAATACTGTCACTATAGCGGTGTGTCCACTCACAGGATGAGCGGCGCTGCCCAATACTGTCACTATGGCGGTGTGTCCACTCACAGGATGAGCGGCGCTGCCCAATACTGTCACTATGGCGGTGTGTCCACTCACAGGATGAGTGGCGCTGCCCAATACTGTCACTATGGCGGTGTGTCCACTCACAGGATGAGTGGCGCTGCCCAATACTGTCACTATGGCGGTGTGTCCACTCACAGGATGAGTGACGCTGCCCAATAAACTCGCCCCTCGGGGCAAAATTTAAATTTAACAATTATTACAGATGAAGTGGTTTAGAGGTTGCGTGCTCGCAGGTTCAGAAATACATTGCCCAGGTGCCGTATTTATCGCTGAGCGGTCACCTAAGAGAGATTTAGGTGACGGTTGCCCGCCCTCAGCGCCTACGGTCTCCTGGTGTAGGGTCTCCTGGTGTAGGGTCTCCTGGTGTAGGGTCTCCTGGTGTAGGGTCTCCTGGTGAAGGTCTCCTGGTGAAGGTCTCCTGGTGTAGGTCTCCTGGTGAAGGTCTCCTGGTGTAGGTCTCCTGGTGTAGGGTCTCCTGGTGAAGGTCTCCTGGTGTAGGGTCTCCTGGTGTAGGGTCTCCTGGTGAAGGTCTCCTGGTGTAGGGTCTCCTGGTGTAGGGTTTCCTGGTGTAGGGTCTCCTGGTGTAGGTCTCTGGTGAAGGTCTCCTGGTGTAGGTCTCCTGGTGAGGGTCTCCTGGTGAAGGTCTCCTGGTGAAGGTCTCCTGGTGTAGGGTTTCCTGGTGTAGGTCTCCTGGTGCAGGTCTCCTGGTGTAGGTCTCCTGGTGTAGGGTCTCCTGGTGTAGGTCTCCTGGTGAAGGTCTCCTGGTGTAGGTCTCCTGGTGTAGGGTCTCCTGGTGAAGGTCTCCTGGTGTAGGGTCTCCTGGTGTAGGGTCTCCTGGTGTAGGGTCTCCTTGTGTAGGGTCTCCTGGTGTAGGGTCTCCTGGTGTAGGGTCTCCTGGTGTAGGGTCTCCTGGTGAAGGTCTCCTGGTGTAGGTCTCCTGGTGAGGGTCTCCTGGTGAAGGTCTCCTGGTGTAGGGTTTCCTGGTGCAGGTCTCCTGGTGTAGGTCTCCTGGTGTAGGGTCTCCTGGTGTAGGGTCTCCTGGTGTAGGGTCTCCTGGTGAGGGTCTCCTGGTGTAGGGTTTCCTGGTGTAGGGTCTCCTGGTGCAGGTCTCCTGGTGTAGGTCTCCTGGTGAAGGTCTCCTGGTGTAGGTCTCCTGGTGAGGGTCTCCTGGTGTAGGGTTTCCTGGTGTAGGGTCTCCTGGTGAGGGTCTCCTGGTGTAGGGTTTCCTGGTGTAGGGTCTCCTGGTGCAGGTCTCCTGGTGTAGGTCTCCTGGTGAAGGTCTCCTGGTGTAGGTCTCCTGGTGAGGGTCTCCTGGTGAAGGTCTCCTGGTGTAGGGTTTCCTGGTGTAGGGTCTCCTGGTGCAGGTCTCCTGGTGTAGGTCTCCTGGTGTAGGGTCTCCTGGTGTAGGGTCTCCTGGTGTAGGGTGTCCTGGTGTAGGGTGTCCTGGTGTAGGGTGTCCTGGTGTAGGGTCTCCTGGTGTAGGGTCTCCTGGTGTAGGTCTCCTGGTGTAGGTCTCCTGGTGTAGGGTCTCCTGGTGTAGGGTCTCCTGGTGTAGGGTCTCCTGGTGTAGGGTCTCCTGGTGTAGGGTCTCCTGGTGTAGGGTCTCCTGGTGTAGGGTCTCCTGGTGTAGGGTCTCCTGGTGTAGGGTCTCCTGGTGAGGGTCTCCTGGTGTAGGGTGTCCTGGTGTAGGGTGTCCTGGTGTAGGGTCTCCTGGTGTAGGGTCTCCTGGTGTAGGGTCTCCTGGTGTAGGGTGTCCTGGTGTAGGGTGTCCTGGTGTAGGGTGTCCTGGTGTAGGGTGTCCTGGTGTAGGGTCTCCTGGTGTAGGGTCTCCTGGTGTAGTGTCTCCTGGTGTAGGTCTCCTGGTGTAGGGTCTCCTGGTGTGGGTCTCCTGGTGAGGGTCTCCTGGTGTAGGGTCTCCAGGTGTAGGGTCTCCAGGTGTAGGGTCTCCAGGTGTAGGGTCTCCTGGTGTAGGGTCTCCTGGTGTAGGGTCTCCTGGTGAAGGTCTCCTGGTGTAGGTCTCCTGGTGAGGGGTCTCCTGGTGAAGGTCTCCTGGTGTAGGGTTTCCTGGTGCAGGTCTCCTGGTGTAGGGTCTCCTGGTGTAGGGTCTCCTGGTGTAGGGTCTCCTGGTGTAGGGTCTCCAGGTGTAGGGTCTCCTGGTGTGTAGGGTCTCCTGGTGTAGGGTCTCCTGGTGTAGGGTCTCCTGGTGTAGGGTCTCCTGGTGTAGGGTCTCCTGGTGTAGGGTCTCCAGGTGTAGGGTCTCCTGGTGTAGGGTCTCCTGGTGTAGGGTCTCCTGGTGTAGGGTCTCCAGGTGTAGGGTCTCCTGGTGTAGGGTCTCCTGGTGTAGGGTCTCCTGGTGTAGGGTCTCCAGGTGTAGGGTCTCCTGGTGTAGGGTCTCCTGGTGTAGGGTCTCCTGGTGTAGGGTCTCCTGGTGTAGGGTCTCCAGGTGTAGGGTCTCCAGGTGTAGGGTCTCCTGGTGTAGGGTCTCTGGTGTAGGGTCTCCTGGTGTAGGGTCTCTGGTGTAGGGTCTCCAGGTGTAGGGTCTCCAGGTGTAGGGTCTCCTGGTGTAGGGTCTCCAGGTGTAGGGTCTCCTGGTGTAGGGTCTCCTGGTGTAGGGTCTCCTGGTGTAGGGTCTCCAGGTGTAGGGTCTCCAGGTGTAGGGTCTCCTGGTGTAGGGTCTCCTGGTGTAGGGTCTCCTGGTGTAGGGTCTCCAGGTGTAGGGTCTCCTGGTGTAGGGTCTCCTGGTGTAGGGTCTCCAGGTGTAGGGTCTCCTGGTGTAGGTCTCCTGGTGAAGGTCTCCTGTTGTAGGCCTCCTGGTGTAGGGTCTCCTGGTGTAGGGTCTCCTGGTGTAGGGTCTCCTGGTGTAGGGTCTCCTGGTGTAGGGTCTCCAGGTGTAGGGTCTCCTGGTGTAGGTCTCCTGGTGAAGGTCTCCTGTTGTAGGCCTCCTGGTGTAGGGTCTCCTGGTGTAGGGTGTCCTGGTGTAGGGTGTCCTGGTGTAGGGTCTCCTGGTGTAGGGTCTCCTGGTGTAGGGTCTCCTGGTGTAGGGTCTCCTGGTGTAGGGTCTCCTGGTGTAGGGTGTCCTGGTGTAGGGTGTCCTGGTGTAGGGTGTCCTGGTGTAGGGTCTCCTGGTGTAGGGTCTCCTGGTGTAGGGTCTCCTGGTGTAGGGTCTCCAGGTGTAGGGTCTCCAGGTGTAGGGTCTCCTGGTGTAGGGTCTCCTGGTGTAGGGTCTCCTGGTGTAGGGTCTCCAGGTGTAGGGTCTCCTTGTGTAGGGTCTCCTGGTGTAGGGTCTCCAGGTGTAGGGTCTCCTGGTGTAGGTCTCCTGGTGAAGGTCTCCTGTTGTAGGCCTCCTGGTGTAGGGTCTCCTGGTGTAGGGTCTCTGGTGTAGGGTCTCCTGGTGTAGGGTCTCCTGGTGTAGGGTCTCCAGGTGTAGGGTCTCCTGGTGTAGGTCTCCTGGTGAAGGTCTCCTGTTGTAGGCCTCCTGGTGTAGGGTCTCCTGGTGTAGGGTGTCCTGGTGTAGGGTGTCCTGGTGTAGGGTGTCCTGGTGTAGGGTCTCCTGGTGTAGGGTCTCCTGGTGTAGGGTCTCCTGGTGTAGGGTCTCCTGGTGTAGGGTGTCCTGGTGTAGGGTGTCCTGGTGTAGGGTGTCCTGGTGTAGGGTGTCCTGGTGTAGGGTCTCCTGGTGTAGGGTCTCCTGGTGTAGTGTCTCCTGGTGTAGGTCTCCTGGTGTAGGGTCTCCTGGTGTGGGTCTCCTGGTGAGGGTCTCCTGGTGTAGGGTCTCCAGGTGTAGGGTCTCCAGGTGTAGGGTCTCCAGGTGTAGGGTCTCCAGGTGTAGGGTCTCCTGGTGTAGGGTCTCCTGGTGTAGGGTCTCCTGGTGAAGGTCTCCTGGTGTAGGTCTCCTGGTGAGGGTCTCCTGGTGTAGGGTTTCCTGGTGCAGGTCTCCTGGTGTAGGTCTCCTGGTGTAGGGTCTCCTGGTGTAGGGTCTCCAGGTGTAGGGTCTCCAGGTGTAGGGTCTCCAGGTGTAGGGTCTCCTGGTGTAGGGTCTCCTGGTGTAGGGTCTCCTGGTGTAGGGTCTCCAGGTGTAGGGTCTCCAGGTGTAGGGTCTCCTGGTGTAGGGTCTCCAGGTGTAGGGTCTCCAGGTGTAGGGTCTCCTGGTGTAGGGTCTCCTGGTGTAGGGTCTCCAGGTGTAGGGTCTCCAGGTGTAGGGTCTCCTGGTGTAGGGTCTCCTGGTGTAGGGTCTCCAGGTGTAGGGTCTCCTGGTGTAGGGTCTCCTGGTGTAGGGTCTCCTGGTGTAGGGTCTCCAGGTGTAGGGTCTCCTGGTGTAGGTCTCCTGGTGAAGGTCTCCTGTTGTAGGCCTCCTGGTGTAGGGTCTCCTGGTGTAGGGTCTCCTGGTGTAGGGTCTCCTGGTGTAGGGTCTCCTGGTGTAGGGTCTCCAGGTGTAGGGTCTCCTGGTGTAGGTCTCCTGGTGAAGGTCTCCTGTTGTAGGCCTCCTGGTGTAGGGTCTCCTGGTGTAGGGTCTCCTGGTGTAGGGTCTCCTGGTGTAGGGTCTCCTGGTGTAGGGTCTCCTGGTGCAGGTCTCCTGGTGAGGGTCTTCCATCATTAGATATCAATGATCAGTCTACTGTTTGCGATTCACAGATCATAATTAAAATTATAATTGGAGACTTAATATCAGTCCATTAACAGTATGTTTGCGTGTGTTGCGGCTGGCGGTGGCGAGACGGACGGGTGAGTCTGGCCAGCCTTCAGCACAGTCGCACCTCCCTCACTAACATCGGGGGTTATCTGTGATCTCATCTCCCAGGTAACTCATCTCCCAGGGAGGCTGAGTGTGGCCAAGTCGGAGCCCTCTGGTGTCGTTGGTAGGGCCGGGTATTGGACTCAGCTTGGCCCTACCAACTTGACTCACATTCCGGCTTGAGTTGCGGATCACACATAACCATGGTGAAGCTGTGCCAATATCTCCCGAGTCTCTTGATACTCGCTCCGGGTACTGGATACTCGCTCCGGGTACTGGATACTCTCGCTCCGGGTACTGGATACTCTCGCTCCGGGTACTGGATACTCTCGCTCCGGGCACTGGATACTCTCGCTCCGGGCACTGGATACTCGCTCCGGGTACTGGATACTCGCTCCGGGTACTGGATACTCGCTCCGGGTACTGGATACTCGCTCCGGGTACTGGATACTCGCTCCGGGTACTGGATACTCGCTCCGGGTACTGGATACTCGCTCCGGGTACTGGATACTCGCTCCGGGTACTGGATACTCGCTCCGGGTACTGGATACTCGCTCCGGGTACTGGATACTCGCTCCGGGTACTGGATACTCGCTCCGGGTACTGGATACTCGCTCCGGGTACTGGATACTCGCTCCGGGTACTGGATACTCGCTCCGGGTACTGGATACTCGCTCCGGGTACTGGATACTCGCTCCGGGTACTGGATACTCGCTCCGGGTACTGGATACTCGCTCCGGGTACTGGATACTCGCTCCGGGTACTGGATACTCGCTCCGGGTACTGGATACTCGCTCCGGGTACTGGATACTCGCTCCGGGTACTGGATACTCGCTCCGGGTACTGGATACTCGCTCCTGCTCGCTCCTGATACTTGATATTCGCTCCAGGTGTTGGCCTCGTGGCGTCTCTGCTTCTCCGGACGGGTGACCAAGGAGTCCTCACTCACACCCGCTTGTAGAGCCGTGTTCACGAAGGTGTGAATTTACTCACGATGATCTGCTTTCAGGGGTCGAGCTTCAGCTCAGCTCCTGTGTCCCGCCTTCCCGTCTATCTGTCGGTTAATACACCAGCTCGTATTACTCATGAAGACGTATTTTCTTTTCGAAGTGTATGTTTAGATCTGTCCCTCTGATAGTCGCTCCTGGGGTTCCTGTTGCTTGCTTGTCTTGCTACGTTTTGGTTTCATCAGCACTTCGTTGTCCATGTCGATTCTGATTATAATTTTCAATGTCCTTATGATGTCTCCTCTGTTGCTGCTCCTATCCACTAGTGTGATGAGGCTCACATCTGTCATCAGACTTTCAAGAGCAACCAGCACCTGCTAGTTAGCGATTTTCATTTTGTGTGTGTGTATTATATATATATATATATATATATATATATATATATATATATATATATATATATATATATATATATATATATGTCGTACCTAGTAGCCAGAACTCACTTCTCAGCCTACTATGCAAGGCCCGATTTGCCTAATAAGTCAAGTTTTCCTGAATTAATATATTTTCTCTAATTTTTTTCTTATGAAATGATAAAGCTACCCATTTCATTATGTATGAGGTCAATTGCTTTTTATTGGAGATAAAATTAACGTAGATATATGACCGAACCTAACCAACCCTACCTAACCTAACCTAACCTATCTTTATAGGTTAGGTTAGGTAGCCAAAAAAGTTAGGTTAGGTTAGGTAGGTAAGGTAGTCGAAAAACAATTAAATCATGAAAACTTGGCTTATTAGGCAAATCGGGCCATGTATAGTAGGCTGAGAAGTGCGTTCTGGCTACTAGGTACGACATTATATATATATATATATATATATATATATATATATATATATATATATATATATATATATATATATTTTCTCATAAACAGCAGAAAGTCTTGGGGTGTGGGAAGGGGGTTGAACCCTATGATATATCACCAACATTTCTTCAGGTTAATAAGAATCACTTACGATAAGTAGAATTTTTTATATTTAATTTGCCGAGTTAAAATGGAGAGTCGTCATTGTACCGTACAAGGGTGTGCCCGTTTCCGTATTTCAGTAGTGGAGATCCCGACTCGCCCATGTTGGGCACATATCCCACAGTAATGACTATGCAAATTGGGTGAGGCTAGCTAGCCCCAAGTGTCTAGCTTACAAAATCGGACATTCTATTTTATATAGATTTTAGTATGACTGATATTGAACTAAATTTAAAAAAAACAAATATCATTTGATATTGAAGTAGACCAAAGCTTCACTCTCTCCAACTCGCTCGTAAATGATCACGTTATGCGTGATTGTGACACCATCCCTGATAGTGACCACACGATGTTTGTGACACCATCCCTGATAGTGACCACACGATGATTGTGACACCATCCCTGATAGTGACCACACGATGTTTGTGACACCATCCCTGATAGTGACCACACGATGATTGTAACACCATCCCTGATAGTGACCACACGATGATTGTGACACCATCCCTGATAGTGACCACACGATGATTGTGACACCATCCCTGATAGTGACCACACGATGTTTGTGACACCATCCCTGATAGTGACCACACGATGTTTGTAACACCATCCCTGATAGTGACCACACGATGATTGTGACACCATCCCTGATAGTGACCACACGATGTTTGTAACACCATCCCTGATAGTGACCACACGATGTTTGTGACACCATCCCTGATAGTGACCACACGATGATTGTGACACCATCCCTGATAGTGACCACACGATGTTTGTAACACCATCCCTGATAGTGACCACACGATGATTGTGACACCATCCCTGATAGTGACCACACGATGTTTGTAACACCATCCCTGATAGTGACCACACGATGTTTGTGACACCATCCCTGATAGTGACCACACGATGATTGTGACACCATGTTTGTAACCCTGATAGTGACCACACGATGTTTGTAACACCATCCCTGATAGTGACCACACGATGATTGTGACACCATCCCTGATAGTGACCACACGATGTTTGTAACACCATCCCTGATAGTGACCACACGATGATTGTGACACCATCCCTGATAGTGACCACACGATGATTGTGACACCATCCCTGATAGTGACCATCATAGTGACCACACGATGATTGTGACACCATCCCTGATAGTGACCACACGATGATTGTGACACCATCCCTGATAGTGACCACACGATGATTGTGACACCATCCCTGATAGTGACCACACGATGATTGTGACACCATCCCTGATAGTGACCACACGATGATTGTGACACCATCCCTGATAGTGACCACACGATGATTGTGACACCATCCCTGATAGTGACCACACGATGATTGTGACACCATCCCTGATAGTGACCACACGATGTTTGTAACACCATCCCTGATAGTGACCACACGATGTTTGTGACACCATCCCTGATAGTGACCACACGATGTTTGTAACACCATCCCTGATAGTGACCACACGATGTTTGTGACACCATCCCTGATAGTGACCACACGATGATTGTGACACCATCCCTGATAGTGACCACACGATGATTGTGACACCATCCCTGATAGTGACCACACGATGTTTGTGACACCATCCCTGATAGTGACCACACGATGTTTGTGACACCATCCCTGATAGTGACCACACGATGATTGTGACACCATCCCTGATAGTGACCACACGATGTTTGTGACACCATCCCTGATAGTGACCACACGATGTTTGTGACACCATCCCTGATAGTGACCACACGATGATTGTGACACCATCCCTGATAGTGACCACACGATGTTTGTGACACCATCCCTGATAGTGACCACACGATGTTTGTGACACCATCCCTGATAGTGACCACACGATGTTTGTGACACCATCCCTGATAGTGACCACACGATGTTTGTGACACCATCCCTGATAGTGACCACACGATGTTTGTGACACCATCCCTGATAGTGACCACACGATGATTGTGACACCATCCCTGATAGTGACCACACGATGATTGTGACACCATCCCTGATAGTGACCACACGATGTTTGTAACACCATCCCTGATAGTGACCACACGATGTTTGTGACACCATCCCCGATAGTGACCACACGATGTTTGTAACACCATCCCTGATAGTGACCACACGATGTTTGTAACACCATCCCTGATAGTGACCACACGATGTTTGTAACACCATCCCTGATAGTGACCACACGATGTTTGTGACACTTGTAGTGACACCATCCCTGATAGTGACCACACGATGTTTGTGACACCATCCCTGATAGTGACCACACGATGTTTGTAACACCATCCCTGATAGTGACCACACGATGTTTGTGACACCATCCCTGACACCATCCCATCCCTGATAGTGACCACACGATGTTTGTAACACCATCCCTGATAGTGACCACACGATGTTTGTGACACCATCCCTGATAGTGACCACACGATGTTGACACCATGTATTGTGACACCATCCCTGACACCATCCCTGATAGTGACCACACGATGTTTGTGACACCATCCCCCCGATAGTGACCACACGATGTTTGTGACACCATCCCTGATAGTGACCACACGATGTTTGTGACACCATCCCTGATAGTGACCACACGATGTTTGTGACACCATCCCTGATAGTGACCACACGATGTTTGTGACACCATCCCTGATAGTGACCACACGATGTTTGTCCCTGATAGTGACCACACATCCCATGATAGTGACCACACGATGTTTGTGACACCATCCCTGATAGTGACCACACGATGTTTGTATTGTGACACCATCCCTGATAGTGACCACACGATGTTTGTGACACCATCCCTGATAGATAGACCACACGATGTTTGTGACACCATCCCTGATAGTGACCACACGATGTTTGTAACACCATCCCTGATAGTGACCACACGATGTTTGTGACACCATCCCTGATAGTGACCACACGATGTTTGTGACACCATCCCTGATAGTGACCACACGATGTTTGTGACACCATCCCTGATAGTGACCACACGATGTTTGTGACACCATCCCTGATAGTGACCACACGATGTTTGTGACACCATCCCTGATAGTGACCACACGATGTTTGTGACACCATCCCTGATAGTGACCACACGATGTTTGTAACACCATCCCTGATAGTGACCACACGATGTTTGTGACACCATCCCTGATAGTGACCACACGATGTTTGTGACACCATCCCTGATAGTGACCACACGATGTTTGTGACACCATCCCTGATAGTGACCACACGATGTTTGTGACACCATCCCTGATAGTGACCACACGATGTTTGTGACACCATCCCTGATAGTGACCACACGATGTTTGTGACACCATCCCTGATAGTGACCACACGATGTTTGTGACACCATCCCTGATAGTGACCACACGATGTTTGTGACACCATCCCTGATAGTGACCACACGATGTTTGTGACACCATCCCTGATAGTGACCACACGATGTTTGTGACACCATCCCTGATAGTGACCACACGATGTTTGTGACACCATCCCTGATAGTGACCACACGATGTTTGTGACACCATCCCTGATAGTGACCACACGATGTTTGTGACACCATCCCTGATAGTGACCACACGATGTTTGTGACACCATCCCTGATAGTGACCACACGATGTTTGTGACACCATCCCTGATAGTGACCACACGATGTTTGTGACACCATCCCTGATAGTGACCACACGATGTTTGTGACACCATCCCTGATAGTGACCACACGATGTTTGTGACACCATCCCTGATAGTGACCACACGATGTTTGTGACACCATCCCTGATAGTGACCACACGATGTTTGTGACACCATCCCTGATAGTGACCACACGATGTTTGTGACACCATCCCTGATAGTGACCACACGATGTTTGTGACACCATCCCTGAT